ATCACTGGACATCCTGGATATACACAATCAACATAACATCTCATCCCTCTAGGCATAGTAAACTCTAAATCATACCCTAGAAGTGTAGGATGAGATTGTGTCACTTGAGCAAATATATGAGAAATGACAGAATGCGTAGCACCATAATCAATTAAAACTCTAGCAAAGTGACCAAGAATGTTTAATGTACCCATGATCAAGTCTGGATGATTTTGAGCATCCTACAGAGAGATATTGTTAATACGTCCATGAGCTTATTGTCGTCCCCCACGACCTCTATTAGCTTGATTACCTCACCCCTGCACACCTCGTCCCTGACTTGGCTGACCAGATTGCCTTGAAGATTCGGCATTACCGAAAGCAATCTCTACTTGCTGGGGCTGTCCTCCCTGATACCACTGAGATCTGCCAGCTAGAATGGAAGGATACGGCGTATACCCTTTAGGATACTGAGAATACCCACTTTGGTAATAAGGATCTTGTGAATACTGATATGGTCTTAGAGCATAAGGAGCGCATTGCCCTGATAATGGTAAGCACCATATCGACCCATCTGACCATAACTACCAGACCATGGAACTTGCTGGATCGGCATTGGTGGTGGCATAGAAGGCTGCTGGGGCCTCTGCTAACTCTGGGGACAATTTATAGCTCCATGTCCCAACTGCCCACAAGTAAAACATTCACTGCTGCCCCGCCTACACTCTAAAAAATGCCTATTATTACATCTGCGGCACAAATAAGCACTTTCTCTTCCAGAATCTCCCTGCCTCTGAAATCTATGACCCTCTAAAAATCCACCACCTCTCATCTGACCAGTAGCACTAAAACCTCCGCTAGAAGAACTGGAACTAGTTCCACTTCTTTTAAAGCTCTGAGTCTTGCGAGGTCCTTGAGAGGACTGACCTTTACCTTTATCATCTATCCTCTGATTCTCATCATTTTCTTCCTCCTCACTATCGCTGAGCATATTCTTAGAATCTTCAATTCGTAGTAGAACCTTAAAAATTCTTGATAAGTAGCACGGGAAGCTATGGTCGTCATAGTACGCCATTTCTTTTTAGTAGCTAATCTGAAGTGATGAAGCATCTTAACCGGATTAGCAGCAACCTCCGGATGATAGCGAGATAAGTCAGTAAACCTCATGTAGAGTATTAGCAGTCATCTTCCCCTACTTCATATTCATAAACTCTTGTTTCTTGCGATCTATATAATCTGGAGGAATAAATCTCTTATAAAATAATTGCTTAAAAACTTCCCAATCAACATCTTCCTCTGGTGACAACTGATAAAACTCCTGTCTCCACCAAGATGCAGGCTGCTCACCTAGAAACCAGGTAGTCGTCTTAACCCACCTGTCATCTGGAAGATTTCTCTGTCTATTCATCAAACAGAAAGTCTTCTCAAGATGATTTATCCATTTCTCTGCTCCTTCAGACCTTTCGTTACCTATAAAATGACTCAACTTCAAATTATGAACAGTCTCAAGAGGTGTCTTTTGCGGAGGACGAAGAGAAGATTGAATAACATTAGCAATAGCTTCCCCTAACTGAGTGATATCGGGGAAACTAGACTCAACAGAAGGACGTGGATCTCTACGAGGTGACATAGTTCTGACAGAATACATCAAAATAATTAGAAGATTCACAAGATATGTAGGATTGCAAACCTAGGCTCTGATACCAAAATGACACACCCCGACCTAAATCAGGGCATGTTGGCCGTCACGTGAAGGTGATGCAGCTATGTGCATAGTGCGGAAGCAATAGAGATATAAGGAATTACGAATGAATGAAAAACCAAATCAACTAGAATACTAGATAAGATAAGGTGCAAGTGCGAGATTTAGTGTGAAATACACAATTAGAGCATAAATAGCATAAGTACAGTCAGGCAGGACAAGTACTAATTATACAACACCCAAATGTGACCCTACATTTATGATGTTTTGTCAAAACCACCGTCGAAATCCCCGTGAGCCACCAAAGCACTTCTACTTAAAACCTGGAAGGGAGCAAAACAGATAGTGTGAGTGGGCAAAGACAAAGCTTTTCAAAATCATTTCATTTCTCAAAAGTTTTAACCCCTTGTTGTAAAACCTGTATAATTTCCCAGAAAAATAATATATGCTATAACAGAAATCATGCTCAAGATGAAAATCCATAGAAATATACCATGCCAAGTATCTCAATGAAATGCCATAAATAATTCAGTTAAACTGTATCAATGCCAGATGTCATATCAGCCGGCTCTACCTACGTGACCTGCACGGCTGAGTCTATAGCTTATAACCAATCTCAATCATATCAAATCAAATCCTGCACACGAGTCGGAACCACCTAAAGTGGTTTGTACGACAAGACTAGGTGTAAAATAAATATGCTCTAGTGCTACGATCACGTGAAGGCTGTGCGAATGATCGCGGGTCACCTACGAGTCGGAACCACCTATAGTGGTTTGTACGACAAGCCTGTGCACCTAACTTGGATCCAAGGTGAGCATATGGTGCAGGAGGTGAACATTACGCGATGGATTGTGCCCTAACTCTAGGCGGGAGCACTAACACCGAGGTGCAAGTTTATGAGCTTTCAATACATCACACATAATCACATCACATCTCGCATAACTGAAGCAATCTCATATCTTTAATTTATGAACTTACCTGGCACTTACCTGTGCGTCCGCAACACCAATCATGAATGTATGCAACTTCTAATACATAAATAAAATAGGCAAATACTTTGCATGGCATTTCAAAACATATAATCATTCAAATTCATTTTTTGGGAAAAATCTCAAGTATATAGGTATATACGGAAAACCAAAAGCCCACTCACTGATATGTTAAAGGGTCGTAGCCCCTGAGTCTCTATTGATGACGCTTGTCCTCAGGATAAGTCTCACCTATATGCGAAATAACTAAATAAACATTATTTAAAGCACATATACAAAACTAGGAAATAACTTCTCATATATTGCTCAAATGGGGTGTTTGAATATACCACCATGACCTACCCAACCTCAGGAACAACCCCAAATTTTTAGAAAAAAATTTTGAGCACCCACGCGCCCTCACACGCCGGCCGAGGCACGGCCAGACGTGCAGCCCACGCGTAGGCATGTGCTTGGCACACCAAACGGATTCCCTAACGGCGTTAGGGAATATTCCATCAAAAATCAAAATATGCTGTTAGAATTAACTGACGGCGTTAGAATATTCCGTCAACTTTGATGGAATATTCTTTTCCTTCTTCCTTGGTTCGTCGGAGTTCGGCGCTGGTTACAGCTGCGATCGCTGGAAATTGGAAAAATTTTAAAACTTCATATCTTCTTCATTTCTCATCCAAAATTCACGAAATTTAAACCAATTGAAGCTTAAGATGAGAAGAACATATTCATACCACTTTGGGGACTTAAAACCAACAGAAAGTTGCCTGAAAAACCTTCGATATTTCGGCTAAACCTACAACTCGCAAAACCTAGACTTCCTGACATCCAAATCACTTCAAAATTACTCTTTAAAATTACTCCTTGAGCTTCGTGAAGATGTTTTAAGGATCCCTATAACCTTAAAACTCCTTGAAAACTTCACGATTACGAGTGCATGAACATTACTCCAAATCGGAGTTCTTGGGTTCTCGGGTTTTCGAGGGTTTCACATACTACAATTGGTATGGATGTGTTATTGACTTCACAAGGAACACAAAGACCACCTTCACAGCCTTGATCCGCGCCTAAAAAGGCTGGTTTGAAATTGATCGTACAATTGTATGGATAATGGATGAAAACCGAGAGACGGAGGAGAGAGAAAGGTCAACGGGTAAGGGAATAGGTTGGTGTGTGTGTGTGTGTGTGTGTTCCAGTTTGCAGCTAATCACAACAAATAACAACCATAATTTTTATGTTCCAAGAGCTTAGGAACTAATTAAATTAGTCTAAAACCCAAACTCAAACCACAAACATCACACAATGTACTCAACATCCAAGGGTATTCTACACATTTTACATAATCATGGAATATCTTTTGGGATGGGCTGTCACAAATGTTTTATTTATTAGTAGAGATTAATTAATCAAGACAAGGGCATTGGGCCTTGGGACCTTGGAAGTTAAAATTAATCCAAGTTCATTAATTTTAATTTCAGATTAAGTTTTTTAATTAACATATTAATTAAGAAACATTTGATTAAGAGACACAACTCTTAGAAAGAGTTGTGTGTTTTCAAATACGCTCAACATGTATTTGAAAGGGTGTAAACCAACCTATATATTTGCAATCACAGTTTCCAAATAGGATCATCCTTTTCTTCCTCTTTCTCTTTCGTACAAAATTTTCAGTGAGTAAACACACAAAACAATTCGCTAGAATTCTATAATCTAGTACGGGTTATAGAATTAGGTAGTTGTATCATAGTCGAGCAGACGTTGTAGAACCACAAGCACAAGAGTGGGACAGAAATACTGTTCGAAAGACATAGCTTTTGCTCTAGCCTCTACCTGTGGTTAATCAAGTTAGTACCAATTTAATTCCTGTATTTATTCCTGTTATTTCATTTTGTATAGCAAGTATTTTTTGTCAATAAAGTATTTCAAGTTCTGTTATATTTGTTATTTTTTATTTATTTTTGAATTGTTCTCCAACAATGACAAAGAGAATATTTCCATGGAGGGGGTGAAGATGAAGTTAATCGGTGGTATTTTCTGCTGATAGGCTGTTTTTTCTTCTTTTTCTTTCTTAACCTATTTTATTTGGGGCAAAATTGAATTAAAAAAAGAAAAAGAAAAAAGAAGGAATATAAGCTAACAAGGTGTGTTGATAGAATTTTGAGTATAAATAAAATTTTCCAAAACGAAATAATTATTAAACAGCCTGTTTAACGGTGTGTTTTTGAGCTGGTTTTTGGGTCCCTTTTGTGGGTAGACTGGAACCGGGCCTTAAAACTTAGATTGCCTCAAAAAAAAAAAGAGTCCATAGCCCAATCCAATCCAATCCAATCCAATAGTTCGACATCTTCTTCAAAAGTTTCAGACACTCCTCAAGATTTCAGTCCCACCTTAAATCCCAGGTTTATGCAGACAGAAACCTGAGTGTTGTCAACAGAACCCACTTCTCTCTCTCTCTCTCTCTCTCTTCTTTTCCCTAGACATGGACAACCTTCGCACCTACAGAGACGAAGACGACGAAGAAGACGAACAATCGAAACCCACAACCGCCGCCGCAATCTCAACTGCCGAGCCCATCGAACCACCCGAACCCACCACCGACGACCCCGACACCGATACCCTAAACCCACCTTCCACCGACCCGCAAAACGGCAGTAAAACCGAAACCGAAGCCTCCGAATCTCTCTCCGAGTCTATCAAATCCCAAGAAATCGACAACGACGATGACGACCCGCCTCCCAAGAAGCAAAAGCAGCTCTCTTCCCTAACCGCCGCGCCCTCTCCGGACCAAGATCAGACCCCACTGCCCCTGCCCATCTCCAACGGAAGCGCCGCCACCGCCGCTGCCCCAACCGCCCCCAATTCGAAGAAATCGAAGAAGAAGAACAACAATGTGTGGGTCACTAAGTCGACCCGCAAGGGAAAAAAGAAGAGCAAGGCCAATAACAACAACCACAATGCCCCCGGGGACGACACCGTCTTCATCACTCCGGTGACGCGGTTCCCGGACAAAACCGACGACACGCCGGACATGACAATCTGCCTCTCGAAGGTTTACAAGGCGGAGAAAGTGGAGGTGAGTGAGGACCGAATGAGTGCGGGTAGCGCAAAAGGGTACAGAATGGTTAGGGCCACCAGAGGAGTGGCGGAGGGGGCTTGGTATTTTGAAATAAAGGTGGTGAATTTGGGAGAGAGTGGCCACACAAGGCTTGGCTGGTCCACTGAGAAAGGGGACTTGCAGGCGCCCGTTGGGTATGATGGAAATAGTTTCGGGTACAGGGACATTGATGGGAGTAAGGTGCATAAGGCTTTGAGGGAGAAGTATGGGGAGGAAGGGTATAAGGAAGGTGATGTTATTGGGTTTTATATAAACTTGCCAGATGGGGGGTCGTACGCCCCGAAGCCGCCCCATTTGGTTTGGTATAAGGGTCAGCGGTATGCTTGTGCCCCTGACGCGAAGGAGGATCCGCCGAAAGTAGTGCCTGGTGAGTGACTGTTTGGTTTTTTGCAGTGTTGATGTTTTCAATTGTTTGTTTATGTGATTTTGTGGTTGTGGTTGCCTTTTTTGTGAAATTTGTTGCAGAGCACTGTGTTTCTTGCATTGGTATTCTTGTTTCGTATTATGAATGTGAATACGAATATGCTTGCACAGCTCAACTGCTATGGCACTCTTTCCCTGTGATTGTAACTGAAATCATGAATGAGTTGAACCAAACAGATGTTGGTATGATAGGATATAAAATGTGCGTCTTTAGTAGTTCATTGAAGATAAACCTTAACTCAGCATAAGGCAAAACATCCCTTGCATGAAGACTGACCGAATAACACCCATTCAGACTAAAAGATGATCAAAACAACTGAACTTGTGACTTATAGTCCTTATTTATCTCTATTGCACAATGTCGTTTGTAGCATTATACTGCACTGGTGAGATTGTCTCCACTAACTAAATTCAGGGAACAACATTAGCCAAGAGAACGTACTATAATTCTGAGTTCTTTTACTTGCGAGAGAGACTATAAAGATTTATACTGAAGTTTGAGACATATGATAGTAACATGTGCTTGTGCAGAAGAAAGAGAGAGATGGGAGAAGTGATCTTAGTGCATTTTAGCCAAACTAGTTATGAAGTGGTTGAAATGGTTTCCAGGGGATGGAATTATCGCTCCTATATAAATATTTCACTTTGTTCAACAAGTCATATCATAGCACAAAAGCTTGGTATAAAATTAGGTAATTGGAATATTTTGGGAATGAGGAATTGGAATGATTAATTTGAAGAACTGCCTCTGCAGTGACTGGTTGAACTGTAATGCATGAGTCTACCCCCCGTAGAGGCTGATTTTGACTAAGACAGTATATAGGTGTTGGTAGATTCCAAGGCATGAGAATTATTTGAAGTTCATAAGATACTTACAAGCCATGCAGGTATTGACTCTTGGAATGTGATGTCCAGTTACAATCTAATTAGCATAGTGAAAGATTTATTCTATTTCTACTTCAATGAAACAGGAAATTGAGTATTTGTGTGACATGGCAATGGAAACCTTCAGCTATTTAAACCTGAAGATATCTGTATTTTCTTTTCCAAATGACCTAAAGTAAAAAATTTGTATCACAAATTGCTTTTGATCTGAGTGAAACATTTGATTTTTTTTGTTTCCATGGGTGAAAATGCTTCCTTCTCGCCAACTTGTTACCTAATTGTTCTTTTTTCCTGAGATTAAAAGGAAACTTTGTTTTGGTCTTCTCATCCAATTTCAATACCAGTCTGCATGTTTGGTATTCAACCCATTGCCATCCGTATATCGTGTGCAATGGAAAGTTAGCATCCAAGCATGCAATTGTACATATTATTTTGGGGGTGTCTTTAACTCACTGGGTTTGGAATAGGTTCAAAATGCTGCCTCTTCCACCAACTTGCCACTTTAATAATTTTTTCTGGGGTTATTAGCAATTTTTTTCAAACTTCTGTTCAACTACAGAAATGTTTCTATTCTGCTAAGGTATAACCTATGTTTGTTTTCTTGGAAGTGTAACTGTTGGAGTGGTTATTGATTTGCTTTGCAGGAAGTGAGATATCGTTTTTCAAAAATGGGGTATGCCAAGGAGTTGCTTTTAAGGATCTATATGGTGGACGTTACTATCCTGCTGCTTCAATGTACACTCTTCCACATCAACCAAATTGTGTTGTCAAGTTCAATTTCGGCCCTGATTTTGAATTCTTTCCAGAAGACTTTGATGGACGTCCAGTGCCCCTGCCCATGGTTGAAGTTCCTTATCATGGGTTTGAAAACCGAGTTGAAAATGTAGTGTCTGATGAGAAGAAACAATAACCAGAACCCAGCACCATTCAACCCTGTTTGTGTTTTGGAGGTTTCCGACGCAGGAATGGAAAACCTTCATGGATAGCATATGAGTTCAACTTTCCTTTGTAATTTTAGTTGCTGCTAAAAGTACAACTTGAAACTGAATGATAAGCATTATATTCTTGACCTTTGTCTGACAAATTCTAATGGAAAACATAATGATATTGCATATCCGGACAATTTCCCGTTTGTTGTGTTTGATAAATATCTCTGTTCTTCGTGCTTGTGTATTTGATAATATCTCTGTGCTGTTATGATGTTCAGATTCTAGATCCTTTGGCATTGGTTTAGTAGTACACTTCTTTCCAAATTATCACAGGTTCAAACGTAGCTGTTTCAGTAATTATACCTTTGTCTATGGTTTTATTTATTCATTTGGTCTGTCTTTTGAAAGTTCATTTTCTTTTAACTTTTAACTGTGCTCTTGCAGTACCTAACATAGTTCCTAGCAAAAGCTCCATCTCTGATTCTCTGCTTCGGTTCTGAAATTGGTAACTGATTAGTATGAGACATTGATCTTTACGGTTGGCATGAGATGGAATATTTGTCATGCTTATATTGTGTTATCTTTTCGCTATTTTAGATCTAATTGGACGTTTCCTCTTATGACAGGAGGTTCGTTTGTTGAGCACTGAGCGCTTACTTCAACTGTATTATAGAGGCAACTAAAATAATGGATTACATTCTTTGTTATACCTCTGTTTGGTCATATTTCTTTTAGAATGAAAGTCTTGCTGTATTTTCTAGTCGCTCATGTTGTTGTGGATTCTCAGGTTGTTGATTAACGGCTTTCACTTTGTAACATGAGGATTGCAGTGCTTTCTCTTGGCATAACCAATGGCAGTGCCAACGGTACATTAAGGGTTATGTCTAGAGGATTAGTGATTTGGGAATAACTTGAGGGTTCTTGCTTGTTTTCTGCATTTATTGCTAATATTTTGACCACTCAATATAGGCTCTTGTAAAACAAACTTAACCAATCTATGCAGTGTTTAGGCACTTATTCATATTCCACTATTATTATTATTGTCTTTACTATATTATTCGTACTTTTAAACTGTAGGGGTTTAAATATATGATGTTTTTTTTTTGTGTAACCAATGAAACAGCCTCTTTGCAAAAGCAAGGGTAAGGTTGCGTACCATAGATGTTCCCCCAGACCCCACAAAGCGGGGAACCTTGTTGGCTTGGGGTGGCCCTTTTTATGTCTTTACTATGTAAAATTTAAGATGTTAAATATGCTTGTGGAAGGAATTTGGAGATTTGGGGTAAAATAGCAATCGCACCTAACATTTTGTTTTTGAATATTAGGTTTGCAGATTTCATGACATTGTGTTTATGCTTAAATGAAGACATCAAGACTTCGGAGATTTGAGAAGGTGCAATAACGACTCAAGAGCGTTAAAATTAGAGGTAGATTCAATACATTGAGATTTACCTAGCTTCATCGTATTCTTCTGGGAGTCTCTAGGTCAGAGTTAGAGATGGGGTCATGTTTTAGTTTGCTGACTGTGGGCTAGATTTGGGCTTGGTAGGAGATTTTGTACTGTCAGACAACATTGACCTTGGGTACCATCATTAGGACCTTGAAGAGTTGTCGAGTTTGATTTTATTTTTGGGAACTATGGATAGTCTCGAAGCAGTTTTTCCTGAGCAATCTTAGTCAAGTGTCGTGTTGGAGCAACAAATTTTTGGTATCCGCTCACCAAAACCTATCGTGGGTGTAGTTCTATGATTGTTTTTCAATCTGGATGTCGAAGAAATTGCACATTTGCTATAGAACAGGGGGATACTTGTTTATGCAGGATAATCTGGTATGAGAATTGCAACATTAGTGTCATCAATTCTGCTTAGCTACTCCTGGGGCACATGGACAGATTGAAAGATTCATGATTTTTTTCTCTCAATCTAAGATTTGGGCTAGAGGTCGCACTTGGTGCGATGGCAAGTGTCTTCGCCCATGAGCGGTAGGTCTCGGGTTCGAGACTTGGGAGCAGCCTCTCCATAAATGGGGGTAAGGCTAGCTGACATTCACCTCTCCCAGATCCTGCGTAAAGCGGAAGCCTTGTGCACTGGGTACGACCTTTTAATCTAAGATTTGGGCTGAAGGTTGTCCTTTTTTAACAACAGTTTATGACAAGCACATCCCTAAGTTTTGCGATAGACGGTCCAAGGCTAGTCGAGAAGTATTTACCCATGTTGAGGCTGTTTAGAGCTTGGTAAGTTGATCTTGATCTAAGGCTAGTTGGCTTAATTCAAGGTTTATAGTCAGGGATGTCTAGTTCGGTCTAATAAGCTTGTGAGACCTAAACCCTTTGCTACTGTTGCTCTACCTCACACAACGGGAAAAGGGACGATTTGCCGGTTATTGTCTTTGATAATCCTTAAATGTTGTCGTCTGTTCATGTCTTGCTCATATCAATCATCGATTATTGTCTTGCTTCGGTCTTGTACCGGATCTTATCTGATCTCGTCTTCATCTTGTCTCATCATCTCACTGTCAAAATTTTCTTGAAGCTCATGAACATGTTTTCAACTCTATTTTCAGAAAGCAGGTGATTACTCACGCTGCAGTTTGAGGCCGAGTCTCCGGAGTGTAGATGTTTCTGTTTCCCGTTTGTGCTGCTTTTGCTTACGATTGATTGATCAACAGGAAACTAGCTTGGTTGTAATTAGTTTAATTGATTCTACATCCCTGAGTTCTATATACCTCCGATGAGTCAAGGACGATGTGTATAATGTCCAACTCGCAATTTTTTCTACTTGCCAGTCGCCATTATGGTTGCAAGTAGGCTCCCCGAGCGTGGTTTCATCAGTTGTATAGTTTTCCAACAAACAGCAGTATTGTTGCTGTTTGCAGGTGATATTATTCTGACTGCATATTGCTCAGCTCTCTACTTCTTTATTAATCTCTTCTCTTGTACCCTTTCAAATTTCCGGTCCGGCCTTTGAGTTGTCTTCGTTGAGCCTAGTCTTCATCTATTCCAGACCCAGTAAACCGTTGATTTTCGTCAAAGTTCCGTGCAGAGTGATGAAAATATGTAGTAGTAAGTAGTACTAAGCATTCTTTAGAGGGGATCTGCTTACTATTATGCATTCTTAGACGCTGACTTGGTTACATGCCGAGACATGTCGAGGTTCTACCTCTGGTTTCTGTGTTTTCTTAGGCCCCAACCTTATTTTTTGGAGTTACAGGAAACAAGATGCTTTCTGTTGGCCTGAGTCTGGAGTTTGCCTTTAGCCTGCTGCACACACATGTTCTATGTGCTGAGACAATTGTGGAATATGTGTGTGATCCGCGAGCCCCATGTTTTTTATTACCACGCCCATTACGCTATACTGTTGCAATCTTACACTACACGGCCTCCAACTCTGTTTTCCATTTTCGCAACATGCCAAAGGAGGAGTTGAAACGGGCTCACTGGCACCGAGGCATCCCAACCTTACACATGATCTCGTATTAGTAACTGGAATGCCCCAGTCACAGTGAACCTGTCTCATGGAACTTCGTATTTTGTAAGTCCTAAGTCATGTAAGTAAATTTTATTAAAACTACTGTTATGAGACAATTATTATGCTTGCTCGTGCCACCCATATCTTCTATTGAGATTCTGCTCAGAAAATTGCTACTGCTCTTATTTTGCTCTCTCTCTCTCTCATGCACACTTCTAATCAGGTAATAATTCTGCAGACTGCAGAATATAAAAGGAACTACAAGGTTGAGGCAGGTGTTGCTCTCAGCAAGTGCTACAGAATGAAAAACTGTGGATGGCGTTTCTGTTGCTGCTTCTAGTGCAGTGGAGAGTTGAGACCCTCTTGAAAAGCCAGGGGATGGAGAGGTTGGTGCCTCTTGGAAGGGAATGGTATCTCTTTCCTGAACGAAGGCCGCTTCTTGAGATGCTTTAGAGTATGCTTGGCATAATATGTTTGGAAGTAAGGCGAAGCTCTCTCTTTGAACTTAAGGATGATGAAGAAGAAGATTCTAAAAGACACAACAAGGGTTACAACAGCGGCCAAGTCCCACCACTTCGAGTGATCCAGTTTAAAGCCGGCAATGTTTGTGAGGATATACTCGCCTTTCAGCTTCGGGCCATTTGGTACAATAGGATCAAATTCACGGCCAACCAGTGCGTTCTTATATTCTCCCTGCATATATCGGTATAACAGTGGTAAGTTCAAATTGTAAAATTTATAATCTGTTCCTCATAGGTCCTTTTTTCGGCTGATAAATGTAGAATTGCATGAAAAACTTCACAACAATGGCAAAATTTAGGATGAGCAGGGCCTTCGGTATCTTTGGAGTAATTCTTAGGTATAACCGGTTGTAGGGAAGAAAAGTTCTTCGGTTTAGTAAGGATCTGTTTACCCAAACTTTTGGCTATTCTTGACTAGTTATAATAAAAACTGCTACTTTTGGAAAGAATGGTAAACTTTCGCCAGTTCAAAACTCAAATATGTTTTTGTTTGGTACCTGTAATGCCCATGCACCATAATTTAGGTATGAAACAGGATATCGCCAAACCGGTTTGGGGATGTCAGGCGGCAAGCGGAAGAATCCGGCAGTCATCATCATGATTCCCTAGACAAACACGGTAATTAGTGATAAAAGGAACTTTATATGCACTTACATAAATACATTTAAGCTTTGCAAGAATGGTATGCATTTGTATTTACCAAGTATCCTGCTCCAATTATCACTCCCATCAAGTAGTTAGGAACAAGAGATGCTATAATCATCATGGAGCTCTCTACTGCTGCGATGGCGCTGATAAGATCGAGGCACATGAATACAAAACGAGGAAACTGAGAATGGAATTCCACCATGTAGTATGTTATACTTGCAGTTGAAATCGACATGACAGCCAAGAATGGGAAAGAAGAGAGGAAATTCGACAGAATAAACACAGCAACACCATAATGCCCGTTGAGCCTTTCCTTATGAAAAACCTGTTTATCGAACAGAAACAAAAGATCGAAAAGTTAAATCCTGAGTGTTGAGTTGATCTACATTCTGATTACACAATTGAATACTTTCATGCTCACAGAAACTAATTTACTTTTTACCTTCATTTCTTCAAGGAAGGATGGGAAGCCTCCGATGGACAGGAAAGTCATGAAGCCGGAAATAAATCCAGCACAAGCTCCTCTTGCCAATATTGAATTCAGATTTGTCCCAAGATTGAAGAATATCGTACCGACACACACAGATAACAGCAGGTAAATGATGATTCTTACCCAGTAATACCCCAAGTCCCTTAACATGTTCAGGAAAGATCTCTGTGTTAATATTGTTAGTTGCTTCCACCAGGTTGCTTGGCTCCCACTCCATTTTTCTACCGTCAGTCCTTCCTGTAAAACAAGTTTCTTATTAATTAACTGTCATGTAAAATTAGTAACATAGATTTCCTTGCATCCTTACCATCGATGAAATTTGTCGAATCCTAGCTCTTGTCCTCGACGCATACTCAGAACTCTTGTACTTCTCGACAAGCATAGCTTTTATCTCTGCTGTTGCTAAGTTCAGTAAAGGTTCTGATGATTTTGGGACGTCCTGCTTTGCATTTGAAAAATGTTAGTAAAGTATTTTTTTCCTTCATTAATTCAAAGCCGAAATGAGCAGAATTAGTTTGATAGGAAAATTTACATAAACGTATACAATGTACATACACGTATTCGGTGAGATTCATTCATGGTGACTCTGTCGAAGTCCGAATTAATGCAACGAAGAAAGTGATCGGAAGGGTTTCTTCGACTCGGACATGGAACTCCAGCTCTGGCAAAGAACTGTCAAATTCAAAAGAAATGAATTAACATTAGGAATCTCAGATCATGCACACTGTAAAATTCATGCTCATGGCAAACCTATCTTGGAACTTTCTCTAAACTTTGGAATATGTGGTTCCATGCTACAAACCATGAGAGCCCGTTTTGAAAGGCTTCTCTAGAAAGCACTTATGATCATAAGTGTTTTTATTGAAAGTGCTTTTATTAGAAGTACGTTGAAATTTTAATAAAATTTAAGCCCTTCCGGGTAAAAAACTTGGAAGGGTTTTTAAACCTTGACCTTTAATTTTTTTCTACCGAAAGTGGTCAGTAACGGTTTTAGGATCATTTGGAATTGTTTTTAAAATTACTAAAAACTTTTTTTTGTGAAAATGTTTTTGAAATCAATTTTTAGTTAAAATGCAAGTGAATCATGGCAAAACACATGAAGTGCTTCCTATAAGAAACACATAACGGGTGCTTCTTGTAGGAAGCACGTTAAATGCTTTTGGAATCCAGAAACACTTTACCTAAAGGCGCTTACATGCATTTTAAAACACACTTCGAAATGAGCTCTTAGTTATTTGAAAGTGCCTTTCTTCCTTGGAACTTAACAAGAAGAAAAAAAAAATCCATTTATTTTCTTCTTGTAGTAGTACCTCCAGAGCCATATTTGCCTGTCCAGAATAAACAGTTTGACCACCAGACAGCAGAACAAGATCATCAAAGAGAGCAAAGACTTCACTGCTGGGCTGATGAATGGATGAAACGACGGTTCTGCCCTCAAGAGCAATATATCTCAGAGTATGAACGACAAAGAAAGCCGAGGCACTGTCGAGGCCACTTGTAGGTTCGTCCAGAAACAGCAGCTTTGGCTTTGTGAGAATTTCAAGTGCAATGCTCAGCCTCTTTTTTTCTCCCCCACTTATGCCCCTCAAGTGCCAGTTTCCAATGAGCCTGTCAGCACAATCTTGCAGCCCCATTTCTGTAATTGTACCTTCACAATGCCGTTGACTTCTTCTTTGGTCAATGTAGTTGGAAGCCTCAAGTGTGATGAGTATGTTATGGTTTCTTTTACTGTCAGGGTTCCCAACAGTGTATTCTCTTGAGTCACATATGCCTGAAAATTTCATGTTAATTACATTAGAGGGTTGATTTTGGATGACCCGTTGCAACAACAGTTCGTGATCAACGTGATCCAAACCCGTTAAACCCAACAAGTTGGTACAGGCCATTGACCAAAGTCATTATTACATGAAATTTGTGGCTGCTATGGAATCAAAGGATTTATACTCTACAATAAAACTCTTTAGAAAACTAAAAATTTCAGTTAATGTTATTGAGCTGGAAATCTCATAAGCCACAAATTTAAAGCTAGATAAGTTGCAAGTTCTATTTGTAGGCCTAATTGGATTATTAATTCCCAAGGTAATAGGGTACTTAGAAGATAACCCATGTGGTGAAAAAAATTAGGATTTAAATTCATGTGGTAAAAAAATTACGATTTAAACCCCTGTGGTGAAGTCCGTTAGGATTTAGGGCCAAAATTAAAAGTTCTATCAATTCTCTATTAATTGTTAGCATATATAAGGCTAAAATGAAACTATTTGTTAATTGTTAACACGTGAGATTTGCATGTGAGGCTAAGCCTCACGTGCTCACAACTAACATAAGGTTTATGAAACTTTTAATTTTGGGCCTAAATCTTAACAGACTTCACCACGTGAGTTTAAATTTTTTTTTTTAATTTTATTTTACTACAAGGTCTTCGACTGTTCTATTACTACATAAACTATTAATCCAATTAAGCCTAACTTTTAATAAAAGAAACATGTACGAGTCCACAGGCACATGGGGAATGGGGGTAGTCTTATTAGGAAGAATAGGAAGTATGTGTACTTACAGCAGCACCATAGTCTAGTCTCATCTTATTACCATTTACAAGAACATTTCCAGTCATGACAAGATTTTGTGAAAGTCTACCTGCAAAACAGCAAAATTAAAGAGAGTAGTTGAGGCATTTTTGGGATATCAATAATTATTTGACAATGAAAAAGATTGCTAGAATTAATTTCGAACATTGCATGTTCCTACTATACATATCTCAAACATGAAAGTGGATTGCTAGCGTCAGTCCTCCATGTGTGTCGGTAAACTTGAACCGTTAATTCTTATAAATCTCACAATGCATTAACGGCTCACAATTAAAGCATGAGCAATATGCTAACATAATTCAACATATCATTTGAGTCAAAGTGATCACCTCTCTCTTTCTCTCTTCATTCTTCAAAGAGTATTAATGTGGAGATGTGAAGCAAATTTTCTTGAGACGATTTGATTTAACAGTTTTAATCATTTTTGGACAATTCAAAGAGTCATATATATGTCGGCCTTGATTGCTCGTAATATTTAAGAACGTATAAAAAGTTTGATTGTTCATCTTGTTACTAACTAGTTTTCGGGTAAAACTTCAATTTCTTTCACCAGTTAATGCAAGAGACAGGCAAAGTGTTTAGTTAATGAAATCAAGAAGAGAATTCATGGTACGTAGTGTGCTTAGTTTTGAAATGCCAATCCCATGTTAAATGCCGATCAGTAATTATCCAACCAACCAACCTCCTCAAAATTTAGCTATTCCGTAACCATCTCTCTGTATCTATTTCAGGAATGTATAGCTTATCTTATGAATGTACATGCAAGAGATCACATGTTTGTATCACATGGGTGTATCATGATCATGTGATAAGTTATACATAAAATTAACATCTAATCAGATAGACTCATTAACTGATGTGACATGTACACATCACTTGCCACGTTAGATGGTACATCAATGCGGTCTCCCTAACAATTTTCAAGATATATAACTAGCATCGACATTCATTTAAAATTTAAAATCAAATAAAAGTCAATTTTTTTTAGATTAAAAAATTGGTGCATATGTAGTTCACACTATGGTGAAGAGAAAAAAAAATAAAAAATACAAGACACAGAAAGAAGACAAAGCAAGCATGTGTGCATATGCATGTGTGTTCATCTTAGGATTAATTTTTTGTAAATCTTAATTATAATAATTAATTGTGAATTTAAACCTTACACACATACACAAAACATATCTGCATGTGCTTATTATTTTGATCATAGGCTAACTAGAAATGGCTTTTTTCATGATTTGAATTCTCGTTGGTTCGAGTGATCATCAGATTTTATCCGTGATGCTCTACTTAAAGATTGTAATAATCTTTGATCGAATAAAATAAAATTACGATCGTTTCACCTATAAAAAATAAAAAAAAAAGTGCACTTTTGCTTTAATCAATTGACATTCCAAAGTGTGGAAACTTTTTATTTTTTTTGGATTAAACTTATGCATGTGATGTTGGATGCTAAACACTTCCAGTTTGATCGAAGAAATGAAGCAGCTACATGCTAACGGCTAGTTTTGTAACGGCTAGTTGTTTTTTAAGCAATGTTTTTTTACAAGTGTAAGGCTTAGATTAAAAGCTCCAGTGAAGGGCTTAGATTAGCTTAGTACTATCTGGTGGTTGTGGTTTTTGTCAACTAGCTCCAATGGAGATAAGTTTTGACCTTGTATACCAAAACCCTACTGACAGCATATATATATGTTTGCTATGAGCTGCTAAGAGTGCAGACTGCAATAGCCGAAATCCCTCCTTACATTTATGTGTTTTTCCATAACCAAAAAACCCTGTCAAGAACATTTCTACAAAATATAAACCTTCCAAAACACTAACATGTGATTGAAATTTGAAACATATAATTATATATACATACATACAACATGCATATATATATATGTATATATATATTTGAGAGAGACAAACCTGCTAAAGAATCGAGAAGGGTTGATTTGCCAGAGCCAGAAGGACCCATGATAGCCATGATACGACCTGGCTCAGCAAACCCACTCAGCCCATCAAGCAGTCTTCTGGTATGTCCATTCCCAAACTTTGGAAGCACAACACTCAGATCTTCCCACACTAAGTGCATCCCAACAACCGCCTGAGGCTGCCACCGCCGACGAACATCTTCTCCTTCTCTTCCACCAGAAGTTGGCAAACTCCTCTCTGAATCTACACCACCAGAAGTGGTACCACCCTTTTGTTCCTCTATCTCCTCCATAGCTAGCAAAATATCCAGCTACAACTTACAAGTATTGTGTTGATAGGAACAGCAGAGAAAAGGTGGCAAATACAGAGAGTTATATAAACAAACAATTAATAAGCGGTTGCTGGATGTCAGAGAAAGTTGTCCCTAGCTATTCCATATGGGAGTAAATATGTGTGTATATATTTGTCCAATTCAAATTTACAGCAGAAAACGGAGTGCAGAGAGGAAATACAAAGGAAGGAAAAAAGGTGGTCCTAGCTAGGGTTTTGAAGTTTAATTTGGTGGATCGACAGCTGCTTTTTGGTTTTGGTGAGTGAGTTACTACGGGAAGTTAGCTTGCAGTAAGTGTGCTCACCAAACTACCATTAATACTTTCATGGATCAGAATAGAGGTCGATGAGAGTGAAAGAATATTGAAATGGGGCGTTTTTGAATAAGGTGGTTGTTGGCATATGTACTTTTTGGAACTCCAGTCTCTAGGCTAGCCAACTAATATCGTGGGAATAAAATGCATGTATATCCCCGTACGAAAAATCAATTTCGCAAATATTGACTTAATCAAGTTGGCGATGGCTAGCATTTTGCGCCTACCTCTTCTTTCTTTCTTTTTTTTTCAATAATTTACACTAAAGTTTGAAAGTCGCCAAGATTTA